CACAATGGTGTGAAAACGTGGCGAACTGAATGAGGGAGAAAGTGAGAATCTGAGGGAACCCAAAATTGACAGCTTCACCTAACCCTGCCCATCAGAATATGAAGGGAGCCTCCAGATGACTCTGAGGCTCCCCTTTTCCTTTTACCATACCTACAGTTATATGACCCTGATTGCCCCCACAGTACTCAGCCCCCCACCCCCTGCAATGCCATCTGTAAATATGTGGTGCTAGCTTGCCAGTACATCATTTTGTGTACTCATCCAGAGCTTGCAGTGCCAGCAATGAGGTAACGTTCAGTAACTGGGAATCCAGCTGAAGCTACATTATGTGTTCAGTCCTCCTCCCTGGAGTAACTCAGCTCCTTAGTCCAGTGCCAGCCACCAGCATGACGGGTGATGTGTAATGCTGTGTTAACCAGTTTCGGCTAGGCAAGGGCACGCTGGCACACCACCCTCAATTTCCAGGTTATCATTTTGTACTATGCTTTTACTGAAATCCACTGCAGGCTGAAATGGACATAGTTATGTTAAATCCATTTAGGACTGAGGTTTTAACAGTTCAGAGGGAGATCCTTCTTTGCATCTCACTTACTCCCTATTTTAAGAACTCAAGGCCGTGGGGTTCTTGAATGTTGTGCTGAGTATTGACATTCTCTTACACCTTGGCTGGAAGGTACTTTTTCTTATGTTATTAACAGCCACCAGAGTGGATGTTTTGAAAGGCTTGAGTGCTGAAACTCAGCTTCTGCATTTGGCCTCTGTCCATATGATCCAATAAATGCCCAGCAGGTTTGTGCATAAGACAAGTTCCCATCTCCCCCTTTAAAACTGCTACTCTAGCTGCCAGAAGAGGCAAGCTACTTTTGAGATTTTAAGCAGAAAAGTGGATTGTCTCTACTGCAGGCAGTGGAGATCTTCACAGAAAATGTTGGGTTCATCAGCATTTTCCTACTGAAGTTTTTTTATTCCTCTTCAGCCAAAAAGGCTCCCAGAGGCTTACATAAACTCAGTAGAAACAACCACCACTGCAATCTTTGCCTGCACATTTACAATCTAATCATCATATGATGACTTGGGACCCAGGATGGACCTACAGCTTACTCACCTAAGCTCCTGGGACATTAATGCCCCCCGTCTCCTGTCTTTTGCAGTTTTTTGCTTGCCTGGTGATGATTGGCTACGGGGTCAGTGCCTGCCTCAGCATTCGAGCCTGGAGGGGATATGGGAGTAACGCAGCAGCCAGCCAAGCAACCATTTCTAATCACGCCTGAAAACTGTGGGCCATTTTTAATCAACACAACTTGACTGGGTGACAGTGGCTACTGGGGCCTTTGGGTGCTTGGTGTCTTCCCTCTGCCCTTTTCCCTTCCAGACCTAGTACTCTGAATGCTATTCCCAGTCCCAGCTTTAGCATGGCCTTTGCCAAGTATGCTGTATGTGTTTTTAACGCCATCTATAGCTGGTTAAAGCACCCTACCCCACACTATGCACTAATTAGTATCCTCAGACTGGTCAAGGTCCAGCTGAATCATGGAGCAAACCCAGCAAGAGACAACCCAAGGGCTGGTTCTCTCTCTCTCTTTCTCTCTCTCAAACACACACAACTCGTGGCTTGCAGTGAGTCAGCACAGGTAACACCCCATTTAGTAATCTCAGCATCTCATGCCACTTTTGACCCAATGCTTCTGCAGGGACTGGCCTGTACAAACAGAAATCAAGTGGTTGAAATTAAGGGGGAACCTGCCTTTCCGTACCTTGGCTGCATGTGATCTTATTGCTAAAGGCCACTGCATGTGGTGACCATTCAAAGTTGCAGGGTCAGATTTGTGCCGGCGATTTGACACTCCACAAGCCTGGTGCGCACAGGTATTTGCCGCCACTTGATGACCGGCAACTGAATGTGTCAACTGACTACACTGAGCAAGCATCAGGTTCAAAGGGACATCCAAGTGCTCTGAAGTGGGAAGATGGTCCACTGAGCCACACTGTCATCAAGGGATGGACACGCTCCTGTGAAGCAGCCCAGAGGATGCCCATCTCCAGGGACGGCCAAGTCAGCACGTCTCACCAAAAACTAAACCCACTAAAAAAGCAAACCCAGCAGCCTCCTTTTATGCCAGCCACTTGCAGCCATTATGTAAATAATGTATAATTATTAACCCAGCGTGTTCCATAGTAGCAAGGATGCTTCTGGTACAAGACCACAGGTATTTTATTTCTAAAAAAATGTTTTGTTTTAAATAAAGTAAATAAATCTTTCACCTTTGTCAAATGAGGGCTTTCCAGCACCGAATTTACTTGGAGAGGCACCTAATTCGCTTCCTTCAGTAGTACAAGTCCACAGGGAATGGCTCTGCCTGTCTTTACTTGTTAAACACTTATTTAGTTGCCAGATATAGTCTAGACAATTCAGGAAGGCATGTGGGTGTCCTGTGTTGGACTGCATTATGCAAGCACAGCAGCCTCATAAACTTTTTCATTGTATGGCTAAGCAAAAAGCAAACAAGTTTCCAGTCCTTATGAAGTGGGGGCCAGAAGAAATTTCAAAAGGCAGAGTTGGGCTTTGTGACCAAGAGTTCCAAGCACACCAGGTCCAGCTAGCTTTTCACCTTCTAATAGAGTCTCTTTCTTTCTTCCTTGATGGATTTTCCAGGCAATCTTCCATCCAGAAAACTAGACCTGGGCTTCCTTAACTTCCACAGCAAGCTCTCAGTGCTCTGCAATAGGCACCAGGGCATCACCCTAACTGTTCCATGAGTTTGGAGTTATGATCATGCCCTCTTGCTTCTCCTACCTCTACCTTACCCTTTAAGACAATGACAAGAGCCATTTCCAATGTCTACTGGAAGCAAAGAAGGGAAAGGATGACTGCACCTTTGATAGCTGCGGAGAAAGGGGCATTCCACCATGGACAGCTTTGCTCTCCCCTGCAGCTACATCTACCACCATTCCTTCTGCCTTTGTTTTTATGGTTGGATAGATAGGAGGTTTTATTTAAAAAATGGAAGAGTAGCTGCTACTTAAATCTCTGTCCTCCCTTCCACCCAGAAGCAACAGCACACAGACAAGACTGAGCAGTTATCTGAAAAGTGACCAGGGGAACAGTCAAAAGGTGCAGTTATTTTGGAATCTAAACTCTCTCTCTACACACACACACACACACACACACACACACACAAAATCAGGTGCGCAATTTTGCTAAGGGTAATTAAATGTTACATTATTGGCCTTATTTCTGCTCCAGTAAATAGTATTGCATACTTGCTTCTCCCAGTGTCCCAGATTTACACACACAGAGAGAGTAATCATTTACTTGGTTGTTTAATCAAACACAAAACGATATAGTCTTAGTTTGCCAACAGCACACAAATTGATTCTTGGTATGAAGTGAACTTCAACAAGAGGCAGGCAAACTGTGAACACACCATTGAAAGAAATGCCAAAAGAAGCTCTTGACGAAAGGTGTTTCTCCAGCGATTACACATGTTTCCTTCAGAGGAGTCCTCCAAGGATTTCTTAGACTATCCAATACTGTAATGACATATTCTAAAATTCCATTCAGCCTGTACCAAAAAATCAATCCCATGCACCTCAACGGTTTTGGGTGAGATTAGAAAATAAAAATTCATTTCCTTGTGTCTCTCCTCCAAGCAGTTCTGACAAATTGGGCACTGAAAGACAATGTATTTGCAATGGCAAGAGAGAAACAAGAAACTTCCAACTTTGAATCTGATCCTGCATTCCAGTCCGTGTTACCCATTTGCTGACCAAGACTGGATTTTTAAAAGCAAACTGCACCAAGATAAATACTGTCATTAATATTGTCAACATGCCTTGCCGTGACTGTTTGAAAATGCACTTCTTGCACATTTCAAATACCAACAATATTCAAAGTATAGGGACAAGATTATTCCTCATTTACACACATGGGACCTTGCCAAAACAAGTTACAAAAAACATCCTTTACAATGCAGAGTTTGCTTCTGGATCTTGCCAATCAAGTTTCAGATCAGTGTACAGCCATTGGACATTACAGAACACAACCCTGAAAGGGAAACGTATGTAAAAGAAAACACTGTGAAAGCAAAAGTTTGCTGATGTAAAGATACCACGTTACCCCCTTCTCAATCTCCCAAGATTTAGTTAAGCAAGTACTGTGCCGTACCATATTGTCACCCAAAACTGAAACATGTAAGATGTTTGTGATAAGCCTCATTACAAGAATCACTTACCCCTGCTTGGATAAAAAGGATTTGAAGCCTGAAAGGCTCCAATAGTAAATTTCCAGGGCTCAGCCAGTCATCCTGGCCTTTCTTCCATTATGTGACTTTGGAAGAAGCCTCAGTGTGACAGCAGCACGTGGATCGTACAGGCAGAGTCCTTGAGCGCTCAATTACCAACCAAGAGTAAAGGCGGGCAACGTGTAGAAAGTGGGAACAACTGGAATTTTTGGGTTTTGAATTCCCTGCTCCTGTTGCCTGGTCCTCCACAAGTCAAGATGGCAACAGCAGCTACACCTTTCTCAGCAAGAGTTCCACAGATCCATGTGGAGGTAAGCCAGAAACAGAGATGTGGCTGGGGCAAGCAGAGCAGATCCAACACTACTGGCACATATTACTAGCTGATGTGACTAAGCCAGGATGGAGGGAGAAAGCCATCAGCATGAACCACACATGAGGCTTCCCAGGTGTCTAGCAAATGCAACCGATAATGGCACAGCATTCCATGCTATTCTTTTTTTAACCTTAGTAAAACACAACACTGATGAAATCCCAAAGCTTGCAGGTATAATCAAGCCACTCGGGACACATTCACTCCACTTTAAAAGAAGGTTTAACTGTCCTTGCTTTCCTGAAAGAAGCTTGAGGAGGGGCTGTGATAAAAAAAACCTGGTAGTCAGTTCTGACTTCTCAGACCATTTCCTGAGCTTCGCTGTGAGGGAGGTCATTATAGTTAAAACCAGCTTAACTAATATTGCAGAACCTGGAGAACTTTAGCTCTTTTGTTTTTAAAGAACTGCAGCACCTCACAGAACTGTAATTCCCAAAGTTCCTTGAAAGCCATACAAGTTTGGATTTGGGTTTACAGTCCCCATCCCCCATGAAGACATTGCAGAAAGCTTTGTCCGTGCTAGAGCACATACTGCTGGTAGTAATGAAACAGAGTGTGATTTTTCTTAGGAGAGAGGTTACTTTGGAAATCCCAAGTTTTCTGGTTCCTTCTGCAGCTGAAGTGGGGGCCTTACAAGAGCAACACCACTAAGCCTGCTGAATGGGAAAGGATACAAATTCACAATTACTAGAGAACTGACAAATAAGTTTCATGCTAAATATATATATTCGCATCAAACACACACGTGCTACTGTCAAAAGTCAAAATGTGGCATTTAGAACTACGCTAAACATATTTCCCCCGCTTTGTTGTGATTGTGAGCTTCAGAAAGTTGTGCAGTTAGAACCATCCCACGTTTGACACTCATTTTCCATCACTGCTGTCCAATGAAGAAGTGCTTGTTTTCCTTCCAAGAAATCGGCAGCCCTCAAACAGACCATGGCACTAACTGACCTCCATGGCATCAAGTCCCTTTTGGCTGGCACAGCAACAAATCCAAGTGCTAAGACAGGGCTGGATCATGTGGAAATGCCCAATTCAAACAAGCAGCTAAGACGAAAAATTGGCCTGCCAAGAGGGAAGAAGGGTTGCACTCCTCAGCATCACACTAATCTCTTCTGCTGGCTTTTGCATTCAGGGCACCCCAAGTGGAGACAGCTCTCTTCTGGAGGAAAGAGCTAGTGTCGTAGGCTGTTTGCGGAAGGCGACATGGAGGACTTGCTCAAGGGTGTCACCACGAATCCGCTGCTTAAGTCCAGGCCACGGCCTTCTTTTTCCTAGAACGGAGATGCCAAAAATACTTCAGTTTGGTGGCATTTCTAAATGGCAGCCTTTCAGCCAGACAAGGAGGCATGTTTGTAATGAAACACAGAGCTTTTATTTTCTGCAAGACTGTGGGCAAGAAATTCCACACGGAATCTGGCACCTGCTGTGGAAACTGAGAATCGTAACTTTCATAATCAATAAGCAATGATTCCCCCACCCCCAAGAGCTTTTTGGTTGCTGACAGTAGCCATGGGTGAAGCCAGAGGAGACTGGGCAGGGTTTCTACTGACCAGGGCAAGTTCTGATCCTTGGTACAGCTGCCCTCCCCTTGCCATCTTGCCCTCTGCCACTCTGGTCTTTGCAAACCCTCATGAGAATCAGGGGCACAGATAGCCATATATATAAAAATTTACACACCATCTCCATACAAACATACACACATTATGTGTATATGCACACATTTTTCTTAGAGCAATATACACAATGTTCTCCTTTGTTGGGTTTCAGATTCTGTGCATCTGCAGTGAACACCCCCACTACCAAAATAAGTAAGAATTATTTTTGCAGCTGGCCTGGAATGTGTTCTTTCCCTTACAATTTCTGCCTTAGCCAACCTTTTGAAACTGGCCCCTTTGCTATTTCAAACCCTCCTTATCAAGACTAAATATTAAAAGATGTGTTTAAGATTTCACAATAACAACAGTTCTGAATTGTTAAATGCAACTGGTTTTGGGGTTTCACATGCGTTACTTCAAACTGACTTGTTCTGGACCACAGGTTTCCAGTATTTTCCAAAAAAAAATTCTGGAGCAAAACTTGTGCATTGGACACACAGTTCACCACTGAGGTTCACTAAAAGCATTTTTAGACACCCCCTCCCAAACCCATAAAAGAACTCCCATACCAACTTAAGACATGAATCTTGGTAGCTATGCAAATTAACAAAAATGGTATTTTATCAAATTGTCACTGAGCAACTTTTTGGGCATAATACTTTATGATAAAAAAAGAACCATCACCCCAAGTTACATTTGAAAACCACTCTGCCCCATCCAGAGTGCTATAGTTTGGCCAAACTGAAAACCAGGGCCAAGCCTCTCTTCCTGAACTGAGGTCCTCTTTCTCACCCCCAGAATGCAGAAGCTGGGAAGGAGCCCCAATTACTTTGCATGCATAAAGCACCAAAATTAGTTTTTCACTTCCTCAGTTAAAAGGCTCTTAGGAAGCAGAACTGGGAAAGTGATCTCTCTCTGCTCAATATGCCCAAGAGTCACTCCCAGTTAAACCAACTTGCCTGGCCATTCAGTGTGTGCTTTCTGAGCTTTGAAGTACTTACAGCTCTGTAATCCAGGAACATTTCTTTAAATGCGAGGAAGTCAGTAAATGTGAGAAGCATATCAAAAATATCCCCTGCAATTTCATCCTTGTGCTGCCTGTAAGTGAAGGATTTAGTCATCATTAAAACAGCAAGACATTCTAGATTTTAAAAGGCATTGAGAAAATATGCATTACAAAAGCTAAAGAGGAAAATGCCTATCAAAAAAAGTTGCATTTTCTCTTTAAATTAGCCACTTGCACAAAGTAATTTGTACTGAAAATAATGGGACTAAGGGGTGCTTCACACACTGTCACCAAGCAATTATCCAAAGAAAATGTAGTTCAAAGTTGTACACATTTTAGATTTTAAGCTTAATAATTATTCTGTCTTGCATCAGGGGGTGCTTCTGTCATCGTCGTCCCCCCACTTTGAAAATGAACAGATAGCAGCCCACAGAAATTTCTGCAGCTTCAGAATCTGAAGGGGGGTGGGAATGCTGTTGCTGCAATCACAGCCACTTCTGCCAACTGCATTCATGGATGTCTGATTTACAGCTTTTCCTCAGCTGTGTGTGCCCAAGGGTGGTGATGGAGGGAATACTGGACAAACAGGCTCTAAGCTGTTACTAAACAAAGAGATGGATCTGCTCGCTAAGCAGCAGAATATCCACTTAACATCAGTTTTCATTATGCAGCCCTCAGGAATGATCAACAATATGAAATCTTCAAGAAGGTTTCTATAAATGGCATGGGATTGCATGGGCCTTGATCTGCAAAAGAGGCTGGGATGGGCACCACTGGCTAAGCATAGAACAGTCTTCTCTTTTCATAGAAGTGATTTAATAGCCCATTGTTTACATTTGTGAATATCATGAACATTTGGGCCTCAGTGCATGACATATATGAATGATGTACAGTGGTCTTCTTGCTGTTTTACATGGTATCTAAATGGGGAAAAGGGGGTTAGGTCTGGTGGGCACTCTTAGGGGATGCTATTTCACTGCTGTACTGACATAGAGATATCCCTGCTCTGAGGACCACATGACTGTATTTCAGAGTAAGGACAGACCCTGGGGCAAGGAGTCTGCAGCAGAGCTTAAAATAGGTGGATTCACATCTGAGATTCAAAGCCCAAGCCTACTCAGTAAGGAGCCTTAAGAACAAGTTAATGCAATGAAGATGAAAAAGAAATGGAAAGGAAAGGATCCAACTTACTGTAATGACAAGGTGAAGGCAGACATGCTGAAACCAGGAATCCTGTCCAAGAGCTTTTCTTCAATGTATTTTTCAACTAAGCATATCTGAAGTGAGAAGCACTGTATTATTATTTTCCAGCTGAGGATGACAGGGAGCAAATATTGTAGCTTACCATCTCACAAAGAGGTGTTTTGATCTAGACAGATCAGGTGCAGCTTACTCGACTGTCAATGGCTGGACCACATTTTGGATCCAAATATGAGAGATGTTACAGGTAGCAACAGGATACAACCAGTTAAAATATGTAGAGCTGAGTCTCTGCCTTGAGGAAGTAATTTGTTCCATTCATTACCCTTAAGTTATAAGAATACTATGGGTCCTTACTCTGAGTAGACCCACCAAAATTACTATATGTCTGAAATCAATGAGCACAACTAATGATGGGAATACCCTGACTAGCACTGGATATAACCCCCGAATTTCAGAACCCAGCTAGAGACTTGCAAGCTACCATAAGGATCTTTCAGAAACCACATGTGCCCCAGCGGCAATCAGTGTTGCCAGCTTTTAAACCAGCTCTTGCAGCTGTGCCCTTAACAAGCCTTTAATCTGCAACAATTATGAAAACTTTCACAAGAAGCTAAGCTGTTACAAAAGATGCCATGTTGGGACAGCAACCAGCCTGGGCCCCTCCCCTCCAGTCACTGAGCAAACTTTGTAGCAGGAAAACCTTCCTGGCACAGTGAACAAAGTGATGGTACGGCCCAGAGAAGCACACTGGATGGCCAACAGCATCAACTTAGTGCCCTAGAGATGTTTTGGACTACAGCTCACACCCATGCTGGCCAGGAGTTATAGTTAAAAACAAACAAACAGTGAGGGGGCACCAGGTTGATGAAGGCTGGCCTTCAGCACCTGCACTGAGGTCTCAGGTCCCTCTGAGGGTGTGAGAGGAGCCTCAACATCCTGAAGCAGGGCTGCTCTCTCTCTTATGGTCCACAGGTCACTGATGTGTTGCTGCTGAAACACACAGAATCCAATCTCTTTCACAGGGTGGCAAATGTTCAAAAGACAAAGCCCACCATCATATGCAAGAGATAACGATCAAAACAGGACATATGCACTCACATATTCATTAAAAATAGGAGTGTAGATGAGCTTATTTTCCTCCGTATCATCAAACTCTTGGTAGTATTTGTCCATGAAGTTCCTTTGTATAAGCTGGAAGTCATCATCTGAAATCACAACACAGTTGCATTCAGTCGAAAGACAGTGACTACATTCATTGGTGTGCTGTCCTCAGCTTGGGATCCAGTACATGGTGACCCTCATAGCTGCAGCGACAGCACAGCTGCAGCTGACGGAGGCCCAATCCATGCAGTAGCTTCTCTATCTTGCTAGCTCGCTAAGCCTCTGGCAGGATGAAGAGTTTCTCTCACTGACACAAACAAGGCAGAGCCTGATTAAAAGACTTTTGGCAAGTTTCACCCAGGGAACAGAGCTGGATAACGAACATATGAGGCAACATCAGTTCCCTGGAGAAGTCAGCATACACACAGTTCCAATCCTTCATCCAGAATCAATTAATCAGGCATAAATTTTGCCACTGTGATTGCAACACGGCTGTCAAGCACTTCTGCATGAAAGGGGTTGTCTGGTTGTTTCAAGCCACCTACTGGGCAGTACCTCAGGCACCACTGATTTATTGAGTGTTTCACTGAAAGGCAAGTATCTACCAACAAGTGTGGACCCACAATAAAACATTGTGGTGCATCCCCAGCCCTCAACAGGAGCTCTCATCATGGGGTCCAGCTGTTTAGGAACAGGAACCTTGTTCAGAACTTGATGTAGCAGGTGGAGGCAAGAAAGTAAAAGCAGGCAGAATAAGAAGAAAATTTACATGAGAACTCTGCTTCCATGTCCTAGGTAAAGAATACAAGTTCCACCTTCAGCCAGGCACAAATGCCAACCACTGAACACTTTCCCATGTGCCGATACTGCACAAACAGGAGAGTGGTGGGTATCTATTTTATTTATTAGTTCGCTATCTCTTCTTTTGGCACCCCAGGAGCCCTCAAAGCGACTTGCAAAATACATAAACAATAATATCATCTAGACCGACTTCCCCTCAACCTAGTGCTTTTTAGATAGTTCGTATCTCAGGTTGGGGAAGGTCTGGTCTAGACCATGATGTATTTGTATAAAAACCAGTGCTGACAAAATCCACCCCAGACACAGAACTGAAAATAAAATCAAAACAATTCCTCTAAAATATCCCAGTGCTACCTTAAGAAAAACATACCCATTATTATATCTTCTAAATAGCCAACAACAGCATCAAACTCAGCATCTGACGGTGAAGAGCTAAAATGAGAGACAGCCAAAGTTGGATTCAGGTTACTATGGAAGGTGAAATACACATAAACATAACAATCCAGGGCACACAGAATAATGCTTAGTGCCTTTATGGCACACATGAGCATACAAAATACTTCCAGAACACATATTACTCAGTAATGTTTTCATCAGTCCTGTAAAGTGGAGGTACACTATCACCCCCCTGTTGCAGAGAATAACTTCAAACTAAGAGAAAGAACCATTTGCCTATGGCTATCTTAAGTGCATTTGCTGTCAAAGTGAGATTTCATACCAGAGACTTCCTGGCTTACAGCTCTAAGTCTCTAAGCTGCTGCAGTAATGCTTTGTTCTACCTGAACTGAATCCTCCTCCCCAGATTCCGCTACATTCAGAGAGAAGCTGTTGTTTATTCAAACACAAGTTACTCAAAGAATTATTTTATGGTGACGTTCTTCTGCATTGCAGACAAGATTTAACCAAGGACAGTCACCCTGATGAGAAGCAGTTCCTTGCCTTGCCTCAGTCAAGTCTGATCTCAGACTTGGACTGGGTTCAACTTGTACCTTAGCCAGGCAAGGTTTTGGATAAGGCATCATCCTTCAGTTTCTTCTCCCTCATCACTAAGTGGGAATAAGAGTGATGTGCCTAACAGCTGACGTTCTAATGCAGGGGTGGCCAACTCCCAAGAGACTATGATCTACTCACGGAATTAAAAATGGCAGTGATCTCAATTGAGCTTTTTTTATGGAGGAGGAAAGCCCCGTTTTTGGGGAGTTCAAGGCTAAGCTATTGGCCATTTTTAGGGAGAAAGGGAAACAGCCACTCACCAACAGATCACTGGGGAGACAAACAGCCTCACTGAGTAAACTCCGTCTTCCATTCTGCAGATCGTGCAACAATGGAGGGCGGGGCTGGATTCTATTTTACCAACGCTAAGTAAAGGGACCCAGCGATCGACCGTGATCTACCAAAACCTCCTGGGGATCTACCAGTAGATTGCGATCAACCTGTTGGACATCCCTGTCCTAATGGAAGCAAGGAAGAGGCTGTTCCTAACCCAAGCTTGGTGGAGGAGACACTGTTGCTACTTGCTGCCATCTAGCCATATACAGAAGGGATAACAGCAATCCCTCCAGATCAGAATATAGTTGTTTTTGTAATTCTAAAGCAGAATTGCTTTGACTTGATTCAGGCATTATATTAAAACTCAGGGTCCATAAAAGAGTTGGGGTTATCCACTGAACTTAACTGACAGGAAATTTGTAACAGGCAAATAAAGTACTTCTATATACAGCACTTAACTAAATTATCACACAATGCTTCATTAACTTGTGGAATTTACCACCTCAAGATATGGTGTTGGCCTGTAGCTTAGATGGCTTTTAAAAAGGAGGATGGAAATCAATTTCTGGGGTGAGCAACCTATGGCCCTACAGATTTGGCCAGGAATCATGGAAGCTATAGTGTAACAATATTTGGAAGGCATTGATCTATCATTGATCCATCACTGATTTATATCCATGAGTAGGCCAAAGAGAAAGAAAAATCTTTATGAGTCAGTCTTGACTGTAGTTTAAAAATTAACACTGAAACCAACTATTAATAAAATTAGAAAATAACATTATCACCAAGCAATGTTCCCACCTTAAAAAGTACCCGAAATATTGCATCGTAAGCTTTTGTGGACTAGAGCACATGCTATAAAAAATCTACAGTGGTGCCCCGCAAGACGAATGCCTCGCAAGACGAAAAACTCGCTAGATGAAAGGGTTTTCCGTTTTTTGAGTCGTTCCGCAAGACGAATTTCCCTATGGGCTTGCTTCGCAAGACGGAACGTCTTGCGAGTTTGTTTCCTTTTCTTAAAGCGCTAAGCCGTTAATAGCCGCTAAGCCGCTAATAGCCGTGCTTCGCAAGACGAAAAAACCGCAAGACGAAGAGACTCGCGGAACGGATTAATTTCGTCTTGCGAGGCACCACTGTATCTTCCCCTAACTGTTAAAACTTCCTATTGGCTTTCACATTTCAAATGAAGTTCTGTGGATTTGTTTTTTAAAAGGCAGTGCAGAAACAGAAATATACTTACATGGACACACCAAAGTTTTCTTCTTCTAAAGTTTCCATCATGGCTTTGTCACCTGTTTTATAAAGTAAACCTTTAAATACTTTAATCCTCAGGGTGAAATAGTTGGCTGTCAGTCATCCTGTCTTCAATGTTCATTTTACTACCACCTAATTCTGCTGCACACCCAGACCAAGCCGTAAGCACCAGTACCCGGGAGAGAGCCGGGTTCAAATCCCCCTCACTTGGCTATGAAGCTCACTGTGACCTTGGAGGCCACTCTCTCACTTCTGCCCAACCTACTTCACAAGGTTGTTGTGGAGCATAAAAGAGAACTACTTACATGCCACATTGAGCTTCCTGGAGAAAAAGGTGGGGTACAAATACAATCAATCAAATAACCTGCTTCGGGGGTTCTGGTTTGCCATTGTGTGGGGCGGGGAGGAGGGGCGCTACTGGACCCAAGGTTGGCCTGACCTGGCAGAGCTGTTCTAAGTTCCTAGCCAGGAGATAGAGCCTCCACATACTGACTCAGTCTACCTCTGAAGGCCAGGAGCGAGCCAGGACCCCCGGCCTACCTAGCAGGGCTCCTCTCAGGGCCACAGGGGACCCAGGAGTCCTAGTCAAGGCCACCCCCTTCCGCCTTGGCTCCTACCTGTCCTCCTCCAGGCAGTGCCAGCTCGTCACTCCGCAGACCGACGAGCGGGACGAAGGCCTCGGCCTCCCCCATAGAGTTCGTTGCAAACGCCCCCGTCGCTTCTTTCTTTCTTCTTATTCCTCCTCCTGCTGCTGCCTAGGAAACGGCCTCTTCCGGCAACGCACACCTACCTGACCAATCATTGTGAGGCTGAACGAACTGAGCCAATCACAGGAAGCCAGGCGGGACTTCTCTCCCGACCAATAGGAAACGTAAAAGGAGAGAGCCAATCAGAGGAAGCGAGGGGTGTTCTCTGCCTTCCAGCCTCACCGACCACGTGGCGGTGCCCAGTTTGGCTGAGCCGAGCAAAGTAGGCGGCGGCAGCAGCGGCAGCAACAACAACTAAGATCCTTCCTGGAACTTGTTAAGGGGGACCCACCTAGTCCAGCATCATTTTTGCAGTGGCCGACCCACGCCTCCGGGGTCTCCAATCAGGATTTGAGCATATTAACCCTCTCACCCTCTTGTGGTTTCCTGCAGCTGGTATTCAGAAGGCATTGCTGCCGCTGACAGTGGAGGCAGAGCATAGCCATTGTGGATAGTAGCCCCCTCCTCCGTTAATTTATTCGATCTTCTTTTAAAGGTATCAAGGTTGGTGGCCATCTTGCCTCCTGCGAAAGTTTCAGTGTTTAACTACGCGCCGAGTTTAAAAGTCGCCGAGCTCGGTGCCTGTATCTGAAGTGTGTCTTCACATAGGCGGGCCTGTCTGCCGGAGCAGGCTAAAGACTCCGCTTGCCCAGCATCCTGCTATCAGTGGCCAAACCAGTGGGTTCTTCTATTGTTTATTGCAATTACATCCCACCTTTTTATCCCATGACATTTAATTCCCAACAACCCTGCGCGGTAGGTTAGACTGAGAGGGAGTGGCCACCCAGTGAGCTTCGTGGTTGATCAAACATGGGCAATGGTGTTGTATAGTGACGAATCCCTCCAGAAAGCAGTTTTCACATTGCAGATGTATGTGTATACTATTTATCTTGTTTGAGATTATAATCTGTTGGGAGAGGGTCATCCTGACTAGATTCTTGTTTGGTTTCATGCTCTCCAGTGAAATGGGATGACACACGTCTCTTACATTGAAGGGCTTTCCTGCCTGTTTGCAAAACATTCACACCCACCCACCCATCTGTCAGGAGCCACATGCCAAGCTAGGACAGAAGCATAATAAACATGTCAGCTGACATTGTTGACTTAGTAGTTTCAGACTGAGGACCCACAATAATGTGCTTGTTACACAAGCATAACACAAAATCATGTGATTTTTATGGTAGGGTCAGCAAGGAAGGCTTGCTTTGAACACTTAACCATTAGATTGCTGTTGATCTCTGGTTGATTTGCTAATATGACAGCATCCTGACTTTAGTGCTTACTTGAATTGCAAGATAAAACTTTGCCACTCCCCTCCATTCCCCTGTGAAAAGGTATCCTTAAGAACAGGTGGAAATCTCTCAAAAGGAGTTAACAAGTTGATTTAAGAAAGATCACACAGAAGGAAAATTTTATGACCCACCCTCAGCCCAGCAGTCCCCTACACACCCATTGTTCAAGGGGCACTCCCCAACTCTTCTTGGAATAGGGGGCTGTTTAGGCACTAAGACCATAGCCAGGGCAAGTGGCAAGGAGCTGTATCGGTGCCCCCTGTCCCTTGTGTCCTTGGCAAGGGGTTGTAACATAGCCTCTGAAGCCAGCAAAACAATGGACAAGAAACTCAAAAAAGTTTGCTCTTAATAATGTCACAGGGTGACTGGGGAGGAGGTCCCACAGGGCTGCTGTGATGGCCCACACCAGCAGTTGAATTACTCCACCAAGGCACCCAGAGGAGCCTCTGCACCTTGCCTAGCTGCCCAGAGGAGTGGAGCAGCAGCCCAGGGAGCAGGCAAGCTCTTTGCCAGAGTGGAGCTCTGATTTTTGTGCGTAACACACACACACACCCCGCCTGCTACCTTTGACTGCAGCCAACCTAATAAACCACGACCATAAGATGTGATGAATGATCCATGGTGCTGGGGAAAGAGGCCACTAGAAGATTCATATACCTTCCTCACCCTTTCAGGTGAGACCAGATCCTAAAGCCCTGAACTTTGTACAACCATCTTATCTCCTCTTCCAAGGATGACTATGAGGGTATTTCTGCAGGAACCACGTTGGAGGCAGTGATTCTGAAAGGGCACCATTTTGCATCCTGCTAGGAATGTGGGAAGAGGGAGAACCCAGGGCTTGGGCAGGGGTTAAGGAGAGTGGTCTCGAATCAGGGACATCTGGAGGTACTTTCCTGAATTAATACGGAGATGAAAATGCTGGATTTGGATGGTGAGTGGCACATGCCAAGACATGGGGGATACTTGGGTAAGGTACATAAGGAGCTGCCTTACGCCAGGCCAAACCATTGGTCCCTCTAACTCAGTATTATCTACACTGAGTGGCAGCGACTCCCCAGGTTTCAGGCTGGTGTCTCTTCCAGCCGTACCTTGATATGCCAGGGATTGAGCATGGAACCCTCTGAATGCAAAGCAGATGCTTTACTACTAAGCTGTGGCTCTTCCCTGGGTGAAACAGACTATCCTCACCTCTCAAAGGGTCTCCACCAATCAAATTTACAAGATGCCATAGAAAGTCCACTCTGCTGATGCATGTGCACCCAGTGTTCTTGAATTCCTATAGACCAGGGCCTGGCCCCCAACACACTCAAGCAGCAGGCACCATTCTGGGTAGTGTTATTGCAGCACATGGAGGCTCCTTGCAGGCCAAACACTCAAAGGCTGCATGTTTCCTCCAAGAGGTTCTGCTCATCTTTCGCCTGGGTTCCAGAGCTGAACTTATCCTCGTTTTCAAGGCTGTTGTGGCCTCACCCTTCGAACCACTGCACTCCATCTACTGCAAGGAGCTCAGCAACAAAAGTGGGGAAACTCAGGGTCCTCTTGGTCTGGAAGGAACTCTTTATCAGCCACCTGGGCAATATGGTCCTATGACCCGACCCTGACTGCTTGCCTAAGGTGAACTCAATCTTCCACAGGGCTCGGGAAATTACGCTTCCTCACCTCATGGTCATGGTCCATCAGGAAAATACAGATCAGAACTTGGCATTTCCTGTCACAGCTTTTAAAACTCCTTGCAGGTTCAATAGTGTTTTGACACCTAATGAGAAGGGTTTCAGTTCAGAAAGATGAAAGACCAAAACCCATCTGAGAAGACAGAACCACTTGCAAGGACCCCAGTCTATTAGCTGAAAGTTCAACTGAAGGTTTCTTTCCAAAGAAACATATTTAGGGGTACAAATTACTAATTGAAAACTGGGCAGGGCCATGGATAAGGCTATGTGGACTTGCCCGGCACTGTGTTGTCAGCTTTCAGTGACTACTGAAGAGCTACTGTTCACCCAGGTTTTGGGGTATCTGTGTTGCTACACTTTGTAAATAGGTATTATTAAACAGTCTATGTGCTCTCGGTTGACGTTAATGTTTTATTGTTTGTTTGAGCAAAGAATTGTAGAGCTAGAAGGGACCATGAGGATCATCTAGTCCGACCCCCTGCAATGCAGGAATCTTTTGCTCAACATGGGGCTCGAACCCATAGCCCTGAGAAAAGTCTCAAGCTTGACCAACTGAGCTATCCCAGTTTATGGTTTTATTCATTGGTATTGTACCCAGCTTTGGAACTCCTTTATAAAGAAAAGCGGGTAGCAAATTTTAATAAAATAAATAATTGTTGCAACTGCTTTTTGTTTTTAATGAATCAAGAAAAGCTGGATTCAGCACTCTATAAATTAAGACGGGAAACTGAAGCCCCATCCTGAACCACTGGAAATGTGATTCAACAATGTCTAGACATCTTAAGAATTCAACAGACATTATTCACATACCCTTTCAAAGGTACCTTGCAACCATAACTAGAAACTTACTTTCTTTTAAGGCTGAGATTCTCACACAGCTGATTTCAGTGATTTTTCTGCACTTGCACAGAGGCACAATATGCACATTGCCCCATGAGCTTTTTGATATTGGTTTGTGCAACCCTAGAAGTTGCACTGTGTGTCCCTCCTTCTCACATGTTTTGCCAAGTGGATAGGCATGAGCTTGGCAGACTAAGTTTGTTAGAGCCTATGTAAATGAAATGGTAGTTTAGTCAACCTAGGCTGACTTGCTATTCAAACAACATGTATTTCTTTCAAAACAATATTAACAGAGTTTCTCCACATTTTCTTTCCAGATCTTGAGTTCTATAGCCCAATACTTTCAAAAACGTACAGAACTTGCAAGAACAAATACTGAATTTAAAAAGAGAGAGAGAGAAATCAATGGTACCTTTTAAAATACCCAGAATAACAAGCTATCTCCAGTCTGGCACTGTAGTTATAAGAATCCCTCCTGAAAAATCACTTCTTTTTTGACAACAATGTAGGTACTGAAATTGAAGGAACTAGAAACACTATGAATGAAATGCAGTTTTCTGCAGTTTTAAAAAAAGGTGGTGGTAGTGGAAGAATCAATGTTCTTTGGAATCACAGAGTTATCAAAAAAAATTTGGATTCTTCTAGAATCTCAACACCTCCTTTACAAATCAGTTTCTTCATGTAGAATTCAAGTCTGAACATTTTCAGGTCAACAGTCCAAAATACAGAGGGTCTCTGACCAGCAGGAAGCTACATTGACCAAGAAATATTGGTGTTGTTTTTAAACATGTGATGGCTGCTGAAATAAAGGCTTTAGAAGACAGATATGCCCCCATTAGAGGAAATTATGAGCCTTATGTTTCCAGTGCAAAACTGTTGACATGTGATGGGCAAGTGGAAGGAGCAGCGGAAGAAAGGAAATGGGAAGAGCAGACAGGGGACAAACTTAAGAGGCAGACTCTCCAGCCACCTTGGTTGGAGACAAACCAACAGGTAGCTCAAGTCTCACTGCCAACTTTTGTTTCTGCTAAAAGAACATTCCACAGCTCTGAGGCAGCAGGGCGACTTAACAGGTTTCCGTCTACTGTTCAGCGTGAAAGTGGGCCACAGTTGGGCTCTCAGCTTGTGTGTGGCTCGGTCAGAGCTGCCTTTCTCCTTCTAGCGCTGAATGGAATGGATCAGAGGGAAGTTCACGAGTTACAGTTCCCCACGTGTCATGAAATGTGAGCGATCTGTCGGACCCGAGTCTGTATTTCTTGTCGACACAAAGGGCAGGTCTCTAGTTGCAAGGCACACTCCATGCACAAGTCACTAAAAGAAGGACAACGATATAAGATGGGTTACTAGGGCAACTTCTCTCCAGGCAATAGTATGCAAACATTTAAGTTACACAGAACTCTTCATCAGGAACAACAGAAATGTCTTTGCGCTTTTAAAAACAAACAAACAAAGTCCATTCATTTTTGTTGTGGGAATGGAGCTGTAGCCAAATAGCTTTTATTCCAGGTAGACCAACTGAAAATAATGGACCAAAGCTAGTTGTGCCTATTTATTTTATGGGACCACTCTGAGCATGGATGCAACTTATGTCATGTAGTTCACGGGAACACTGAATGGGCGGGTGGGTGTGTCACAACTTGCATGGTCTGTCAATGCCAATTTTGTTGTGGACAGTTGATAGTACAGAGACAATGCACATATTCTAAGCAGTAAAATCCATCTTCTTCGTTGCCTCAAGACTTATAGGGCTTATGTACACATGCAGGCAGTGGGGGAATAAGGTGGGTAGTAGAATCTTGAGGGAGAAGCGTGGACAGAACCACGTCAGACTGCAGGTATGGCAGCAGCAAACAACAACAACAACAAAATCCCTGCAAGTAGAAACCTAGTACATCAGGAAACAGACTGATCTGGAACATCTCCTTGCTGTGCTTGTTGTTCTTTGCAGGATTCCCCTCTTGATGAGGAGGAAAAAACAAAAGTGACATTCGTCACCTGCAGCCTGAACTGGCAGAATCCCTTCTACCACCTCATCCTACTACATATGCAGACCAGGCCTAACATGGAATGCAAAGCTTTACAAAAAAGAAATCAATAATAATCATAATGTCATGAATAATTATAATAGTATTTTTAATCCACCTTTTAGAATATATATCCTGTATAGTCTTAAATGTGTTTGTGAGAGGGGGCGTTTATTGGTTTTTGTTTTATTGTATATTTTTGTCTTCTCATTTTAAATTTTTATGTTGTGAGCAGCCCAGTATACCTTGAAGGGCAGTATACAAATTTAATAAACAAACAAATAAATAAATAATCCCTCCAAGACCAATTACAGCTTATCATATTAGGGCATGTAAGACAGGGGAAGCTACAAAACTATGATAAATAAAAGGAATAATTATCCACCAATACCTGTGACCACATGGCCTGAGTTCTGTGTCTGCTATTTCATCGCAGCAAAGAGTGCAGCAATTCTCTCGAATGCTTACTTGCTTTAGCAAGGCCAGTCGTCTATGTCTGAAGAGGAAAAATCATCAGGAGAAAAATACTATTTATATATTCAGTTCAAAGAAACAATTTCAAGGGATCCTGCTCATATCAAATGTATTTGACTAGGGACATGATCACCTTACATGACAATGAATCTCAGTTTAATATCTGTGAATTAGTATGTGAAGCAATGGAAACAGCAACAACAACAAATTCAATTAACAATTTATTCAATTCTGTTAACTAAGAATTAATGCTCTGCATATCCACTAGTTTATCAAACAAGCACACAGATTTGATACTAAGCATGAAATTGGGCATCTGGAAGATCTAAACTTCTCGGTTTAAAGCTACCACACTGGAAGAAGTTGTTACCCCTTATAGTTGGAAAGCTCTCCCTCCCAACTAGCCTTTCTCTCATTCCCCTGATAAACCAATCAACAAAACTTCAGATGTTATTCAAAAACCTGAATCACAGAAACTGGATAAATTGCACAGAACTAATCTAATCTATGAAAGTTGGCTTTTGTTTACATGATTCATTCTCATGGAATAATCTGCACCTAAGTTTGCCCTGGATACAACTCTCAGAATGACAGGTATCCAGCATTTCCCCACATTACATTTTCAAGCTGCATTTTCTACAATCAACGCACAAAACGGTCCTGAGGTTAAGTGGCTCTTCCACTGTGAAAGGCTGCAGTGTGTGAAACTACAGGAGTTTGATAAAACTTCACATGTGTAAAAACTTCACAGGATACCCTTTATTTATCATATCCAAATGGGTCAAAACCTACAAAGAACAAGACTACAGCCTTCAGTTCCATGCACTGACAAGTGGAAAATATTACCTTGGTAAAATGATTTTCTCTTCTGCTGTCAAGAAGGCATAGTCATTAAAGGTGCTAAATTTAGCTGATGGTGGATATTTGAAAGGTTTTGCTCCAAAGTTGAACTCACACTGTTGATAAGACATGAAACTAGCTGCAGGGAAGAAGCCAGACCTGCAAAGTCAAGGGAGACTCATATTAGAGCACCACCATGCAAAGCATCCGACACACAGTGCCACTTTGTATTAGACTGAGAAATACCCATGACTTGTAGAATGATCCAGGTGTGCAGAACAGATTGGTCCAAGGTCACCCAGTGAGCTTCATGGCCAAGTGGGGATGTGAAGCCTTGTCTCCAAGGTCCTAGTCCAACACACTAACCACTACACCATGCTGTCTTTACTACAAGTCATGGCTTGTTTTCTAGTTAGGGATAGGAAGGGCTGGCTAGCCCAAGTAGATGGGTTGCAGACTGAAGAACGCCCCCCCTTCCCAGGTTTGCTTGGATCCTTAACAGGCAGCTTCAAACAGGCCCCTTGCATATCTATTCCCTGCCTGCCTCCAATAAGGTAAAGGTAAAGGTACCCCTGCCCGTACGGGCCAGTCTTGACAGACTCTAGGGTTGTGCGCCCATCTCACTTAAGAGGCCGGGGGCCAGCGCTGTCCGACACTTCCGGGTCACATGGCCAGCGTGACAAAGCTGCATCTGGCGAGCCAGCGCAGCACACGGAACGCCGTTTACCTTCCCGCTGGTAAGCGGTCCCTATTTATCTACTTGCACCCGTATAAAGTAAACCTTTAAATACTTTAATTCCCTCAGGGTGAAATAGTTGGCTGTCAGTCATCCTGTTTCAATGTTCATTTTACTACCACTAATTCTCGCTGCACGCCCAGACCAACGAGCGTAAGCACCAGTTACCCGGAGAGAGAGCCGGGTTCAAATCCCTCACTTGGCTATGAAGCTCACTGTGACCTTGGAGGCCACTCTCTCTCACTTTCTGCCAACCTACTTCACAAGGTTGTTGTGGAGCATAAAAGTAGATACTTTACATGCCACAGTTGAAGCTTCCTGGAAAAAAGGTGGGGTGCAAGGACAATCAATACAAAATAACTGCTTCGGGGGCGTCTTCTGGTTTGCCATTGTGTGGGGGGGAGGAGGGGCGCTACTGGACCCAAGGTTGGCCTGACCTGGCAGAGCTGTTCTAAGTTCCTAGCCAGGAGATAGAGCCTCCACATACTGACTCAGTCTACCTCTGAAGGCCAGGAGCGAGCCAGGACCCCCGGCCTACCTAGCAGGGCTCCTCTCAGGGCCACAGGGGACCCAGGAGTCCTAGTCAAGGCCACCCCTTCGCGCTTGGCTCCTACCTGTCCTCCTCCAGGCAGTGCCAGCTCGTCACTCCGCAGACCGACGAGCGGACGAAGGCCTCGGCCTCCCCATAGAGTTCGTTGCAAACGCCCCCCGTCGCTTTCTTTCTTTCTTCTTATTCCTCCTCCTGCTGCTGCCTAGGAACGGCCTCTTCCGGCAACGCACACCTACCTGACCAATCATTGTGAGGCTGAACGAACTGAGCCAATCACAGGAAGCCAGGCGGGACTTCTCTCCGACAATAGGAAACGTAAAAGAGAGAGCCAATCAGAGGAAGGAGGGGTGTTCTCTGCCTTCCAGCCTCACCGACCACGTGGCGGTGCCCAATTGGCTGAGCCGAGCAAAAGTAGGCGGCGGCAGCAGCGGCAGCAACAACAACTAAGATCCTTCCTGGAACTTGTTCAAGGGGGACCCACCTAGTCCAGCATCATTTTTGCAGTGGCCGACCCACGCCTCCGGGGTCTCCAATCAGGATTTGAGCATATTAACCCTCTCACCCTCTTGTGGTTTCTGCAGCTGGTATTCAGAAGGCATTGCTGCCGCTGACAGTGGAGGCAGAGCATAGCCATTGTGGATAGTAGCCCCCTCCTCCGTTAATTTATTCGATCTTCTTTTAAAGGTATCAAGGTTGGTGGCCATCTTGCCTCCTGCGAAAGTTTCAGTGTTTAACTACGCGCCGAGTTTAAAAGTCGCCGAGCTCGGTGCCTGTATCTGAAGTGTGTCTTTCACATAGGCGGGCCTGTCTGCCGAGCAGGCTAAAAGCTCCGACTCCGCTTGCCCAGCATCCTGCTATCAGTGGCCAAACCAGTGGGTTCTTCTATTGTTTATTGCAATTACATCCCACCTTTTTATCCATGACATTTAATTCCCAACAACCTCTGCGCGGTAGGTTAGACTGAGAGGGAGTGGCCACCCAGTGAGCTTCGTGGTTGATCAAACATGGGCAATGGGTGTTGTATAGTGACGAATCCCTCCAGAAAGCAGTTTTCACATTGCAGATGTATGTGTATACTATTTATCTTGTTTGAGATTATAATCTGTTGGGAGAGGGTCACCTGACTAGATTCTTGTTTGGTTTCATGCTCTCCCAGTGAAATGGGATGACACACGTCTCTTACATTGAAGGGCTTTCCTGCCTGTTGCAAAACATTCACACCCACCCACCCATCTGTCAGGAGCCACATGCCAAGCTAGGACAGAAGCATAATAAACATGTCAGCTGACATTGTTGACTTAGTAGTTTCAGACTGAGGACCCACAATAATGTGCTTGTTACACAAGCATAACACAAAATCATGTGATTTTATGGTAGGGTCAGCAAGGAAGGCTTGCTCTTGAACACTTAACCATTAGATTGCTGTTGATCTCTGGTTGATTTGCTAATATGACAGCATCCTGACTTTAGTGCTTACTTGAATTGCAAGATTAAAACTTTGCCACTCCCCTCCATTCCCTGTGAAAAGGTATCCTTAAGAACAGGTGGAAATCTCTCAAAAAGGAGTTACAAGTTGAATTAAGAAAGATCACACAGAAGGGAAAATTTTATGACCCACCCTCAGCCCAGCAGTCCCCTACACACCCATTGTTCAAGGGGCACTCCCCAACTCTTCTTGGAATAGGGGGCTGTTTAGGCACTAAGACCATAGCCAGGGCAAGTGGCAAGGAGCTGTATCGGTGCCCCTGTCCTTGTGTCCTTGGCAAGGGGTTGTAACATAGCTCTGAAGCCAGCAAAACAATGGACAAGAAACTCAAAAAAGTTTGCTCTTAATAATGTCACAGGGTGACTGGGGAGGAGGTCCCACAGGGCTGCTGTGATGGCCCACACCAGCAGTTGAATTACTCCACCAAGGCACCCAGAGGAGCCTCTGCACCTTGCCTAGCTGCCCAGAGGAGTGGAGCAGCAGCCCAGGGAGCAGGCAAGCTCTTTGCCAGAGTGGAGCTCTGATTTTTGTGCGTAACACACACACACACCCCGCTGCTACCTTTGACTGCAGCCAACCTAATAAACCACGACCATAAGATGTGATGAATGATCCATGGTGCTGGGGAAAGAGGCCACTAGAAGATTCATATACCTTCCTCACCCTTTCAGGTGAGACCAGATCCTAAAGCCCTGAACTTTGTACAACCATCTTATCTCCTCTTCCAAGGATGACTTATGAGGGTATATTCTGCAGGAACCACGTTGGAGGCAGTGATTCTGAAAGGGCACCATTTTGCATCCTGCTAGGAATGTGGGAAGAGGAGAACCCAGGGCTTGGGCAGGGGTTAAGGAGAGTGGTCTCGAATCAGGGACAATCTGGAGGTACTTTCCTGAATTAATATGGAGATGAAATGCTGGATTGGATGGTGAGTGGCACATGCCAAGAATGGGGGATACTTGGGTAAGGTACATAAGGAGCTGCCTTACGCCAGGCCAACCATTGGTCCCTCTAACTCAGTATTATCTACCACTGAGTGGCGGCGACTCCCCAGGTTTCAGGCTGGTGTCTCTTCCAGCCGTGACCTTGATATGCCAGGGATTGAGCATGGAACCCTCTGAATGCAAAGCAGATGCTTTACTACTAAGCTGTGGCTCTTCCCTGGTGAAACAGACTATCCTCACCTCTCAAAGGGTCTCCACCAATCAAATTTACAAGATGCCATAGAAATCCACTCTGCTGATGCATGTGCACCCAGTGTTCTGAATTCCTATAGACCAGGGCCTGGCCCCCAACACACTCAAGCAGCAGGCACATTCTGGGTAGTGTTATTGCAGCACATGGAGGCTCCTTGCAGGCCAAACACTCAAAGGCTGCATGTTTCCTCCAAGAGGTTCTGCTCATCTTTCGCCTGGGTTCCAGAGCTGAACTTATCCTCGTTTTCAAGGCTGTTGTGGCCTCACCCTTCGAACCACTGCACTCCATCTACTGCAAGGAGCTCAGCAACAAAAGTGGGGAAACTCAGGGTCCTCTTGGTCTGGAAGGAACTCTTTATCAGCCACCTGGGCAATATGGTCCTATGACCCGACCCTGACTGCTTGCCTAAGGTGAACTCAATCTTCCACAGGGCTCGGGAAATTACGCTTCCTCACCTCATGGTCATGGTCCATCAGGAAAATACAGATCAGAACTTGGCATTTCCTGTCACAGCTTTTAAAACTCCTTGCAGGTTCAATAGTGTTTTGACACCTAATGAGAAGGGTTTCAGTTCAGAAAGATGAAAGACCAAAACCCATCTGAGAAGACAGAACCACTTGCAAGACCCCAGTCTATTAGCTGAAAGTTCAACTGAAGGTTTCTTTCCAAGAAACATATTTAGGGGTACAAATTACTAATTGAAAACTGGCAGGGCCATGGATAAGGCTATGTGGACTTGCCGGCACTGTGTTGTCAGCTTTCAGTGACTACTGAAGAGCTACTGTTCACCCAGGTTTTGGGGTATCTGTGTTGCTACACTTTGTAATTAGGTATTATTAAACAGTCTATGTGCTCTCGGTTGACGTTAATGTTTTTATTGTTTGTTTGAGCAAAGAATTGTAGAGCTAGAAGGGACACATGAGATCATCTAGTCCGACCCTGCAATGCAGGAATCTTTTGCTCAACATGGGGCTCGAACCCATAGCCCTGAGAAAAGTCTCAAGTTGACCAACTGAGTATCCCAGTTTATGGTTTTTATTCATTGGTATTGTACCCAGCTTTGAACTCCTTTATAAAGAAAAGCGGGTAGCAAATTTTAATAAATAAATAATTGTTGCAACTGCTTTTTTTTTTAATGAATCAAGAAAAGCTGGATTCAGCACTCTATAAATTTAAGACGGGAAACTGAAGCCCCATCCTGAACCACTGGAAATGTGATTCA